GAGGTAGTGATCACACTTTGGTTCATTTACTACTTTGATGGATCTTCAAACTTCTTTTTGACCAATCTTTCATTGTTTTCACACTTTTCAGCAAATGCCAATCACGAAACAAGCTAAACTGCTAAAGTGATCAAGAATTACCAGAAGTAATATGAACAGCTCACTACAAGAAAACACTTGATTACCGACCAACAGTTACGACCACGAAATGGTGGTCGTAATTTTACGTCTGTGTTACGACCAGTCAACAACCAAAATGACATTGGTCGTAAAACCGAAGTAAATTTAGGACCACATATATTGGTCGTAAAGCAGAAGTGACTTAACCTCTAATTTACGACCAAAAGGAAATGTGGTCGTAAAGTAGAAGTTTGTCGACTACGGAGTTACGACCAAATATTTAGATTCGCATTAACTACCAAATTACATGCACGTGGTAGTTTATTCGAAGTAACAAAATTTTGGTCGTAAATAGGGGGTAATATTCCCCACTTACCATTTCGAAATTTGCCTATAAATACGATCTCATATTCCATTTTTTAGATACACCAAAAAAAAAATAAACAAGATTGTCAAAAAAAAAAAAACGAAACAAGATAGAGTAAAAAATGTCTCGAGATATTTATGAGCTTCGAAGTTGGATGTATACACATAAAGATTTTGAGGGAAGAGTGACATCGGAGTTCCTCAACAGGGCAGAAATATTCATGTACCAGGCCGGAAACACGTCTCTCACGAAGGAAACGGGTAAAATGTTCTGTCCATGTGTTAAGTGCAAGAATACAAAATTCGCTCTTATTGAAACGGTTTGGAAGCATATAGTTAATAGAGGATTTACTCCACATTACTACATTTGGTTTCATCATGGAGAAGGTGATAGTATGAATGAAAATTGAAGAAGAAAACAAAATTTCTATTCATTCCTCAGAAATCATGGTGTAATTCCAAAGATTGGTTGAGTACTGTTTGTGTTTATAGATAGAGATGATGTGAGAGGCAAATGACATTTACAAAGAAGAAGTTGAAGAAGAAACTAAGGATTTAACTACCAGGTAGTTACTAGCAACTTCAGTCACAAGTTACATACACACACACACTCACACCGTTGGTTAATTTTCTTCAAGCTTATGTTGTTCTTATTGGTGGTCGATGAGATTACTTTTGTGCTGCACCTCAGGTGGGCTTCTCTAAAATAGTAAGTTTAATTTGTCAAGGGAAACATTGCGGTAGTTTAAAACTAAAACTTTACTTTTTTGCTACTTTCTGAGTTATATTCAGCTCTAAAATACCAGATGGCTTCAAATAATAAAAAACAATGTTTCCACTACAGTTAATAAAAGGAGCGAGAGGAACTCCTACGTACATTGACTATATCAGTTCAAATAACTTTATTTGATCCATATTTGGAAGCTTCGAAGGTTGCACAAAGAGACAACAAAAGAAAAAAACTATCAATATATATGATCAAGTTAAAGGATACGAACAGAAGATATTTCTTGATTCTTTTCCATTACTTATCATGTCATTTTGTAATCTTTCTTAGTTTATCTTTAAAAATCTCATCACACAAAACATATCTATAACCATTCTTTAAATCTTTTAGGTTAATTGATTGGTGTTGTAGCTTTTAATACAATGGTTACACTTTCAAATTGTATTCCTTAGACTTCTTCTTTCCACAAGTCTTCTTTCCACAAGTCTTTTTTCCACAAGTCTTGCTCTTGCTTCCAAACAAGAATCAAGTCCAAGAACTGATTAGTGTTCCTCCTTACAGACTTATAAATTTACATTTTTAATATTTTTGATTTCATCTCTATATATTTTTTTCAAAAATATAAAACATGATTTTTTTTAATTTTTTTACTCTATGATAAAAAGATCCAAAATTTATGAAATCAAATTTAAATATTTTCAATGTTACTACAAGAACCATCAATATTTAAAAGCAACTCCATGGAGATGGAATTGTGCAATCACCACGAACCACCGTCTGCCACCGATTCTCCCTACCACATAAGGTAACCTGTAGCCCTTCTTCCACAAGGCAATTAAATCTCAATTTTTAAAATGCATCATTAGCTATACTATAATTGTATATTTAAAATATTAAACTAAGATAGCTACTAAACAAATGTTTAGTTTAACAACACATGGCAGACATTCCGCGCGTAGCGCGGACATACCACTAGTAGATTAATACTTTAGAGTTTTGTGTTGTGGCTGTAAATATTATGTTGTATGAATTTGATTGTAAGTTATAAAATATTTAATGATTTACATTTTTTAAAGTAAAAATAAATACTTCTAGAATCAAAAAAAAATCTGTAGTTTTCAAAATCTTTTCAAAGCATAAGTAAAAAATATTTATTGCTTTAGAAATAATTTAGACTCTAAAAAAACTCTACAGCAGTTTAAAAACACTTGCCAATCATTCAAAAAACTGTACAATGGGTTATTTTGTCACGATTAAAACTATCAGGGACTTTTTAGAAAAACTATAACTCCAGTATGATCCTACATTTTTTTTTTTTTTTTTCCTACATTCTTCCTTAGCCAAAATATATGAAAATGACAGAAACAAAGATAGTGGAAGCATACACATATTATTATGTCGCGTTTAGCTTTAGGTCGTTATAGCCGTTACATCTCGCGCCTTAAACCTCTGCCTCATCTGAACAACTCTGTACTTTTCTCTTCCTCTGCTACTTCGAACCGAGATGATACCGCCGCCGCTTCTCAGACAGGTCCTCCACCGATCCGGGTCGGACTCACCGAGTCAGCGGGTCGGGCTGTTTTCGCAACGCGTAGGATTGGTTGTGGAGATCTTATACACACCGCGAAGCCTGTCTTAGCTTGCCCTTCTTTACTCTCGCTCGACTCAGTTTGTTATCTTTGTCTCAAGAAACTTATGGGTTCTGATAAGTTCCAAGATCGTGGTGTCTCTTATTGCAGCCAAGAGTGCCAAGACAACGCAAAGGTTGTATCTTTTGGTTTCCTGTAGTGATGTGTGATTCTCTTACATGTTATTAGATCGCTGGGTAGTTAATTACTGTCTTCATTTTGTAATGTTTTGTGTTGAGTAGTGTCTGCCAAGTGTTCGACGAAATGCTTCAATGAAAAAGAAAGAAACATCCTTTTATAATTATAGCTGTGTACTTTTGAGCTCATATATAAATATCTTTTATGATTTTACAGGGGTTTTATGATGTTGAAACTAGAGGAGATTGGTCAAGCTTTGTTGATTATTGTAGGTATGATACTCAACTTTTTCCTTCTTTACATATGTGCATATATATTTTATTTTGCATATCAGCTTCACTTTTAATTTCCATAGTGTGCATACTACGAAGTTCTTGAAGTTTCTCTTTTTTCCTCCACATGAACGACTTTTCGTATGGTTTTGGATTGAATGTGTTTGTTATTGACATAAGTCACGCGTTGACCAAGTCTTATATAGTCTAGCAGCAATCTCTTGTTAATATGGTGATTGTGATGGAAAAAGGAAATCTAAGGAAGTTGTGATGTATCTGTTAGTATGTCTTGCTTATGCCAAAGGCTATATGGTTCCTCTGGTATTACTAATTACAGTATGAAGTAAGATGCTTCTATTGGCACTAATGATGCCGACTCTTTGTTATCTTTGTGTCAGGACGCACAACTTCAAGTACCCGCTTATGGTCAAGAGGTTGAGTTGTATGGTAATCTCAGGTGCCCTGTCCCCTGACTGTCTTGACATACTTCAACCAGCTTCATTATCTTCTGCCATGATTTCAAAAGTGAGTTACTTAGGATGAATATAATATACTAACAATAGATTTTCAAACTTTGGAGTCAAAAGACAAGGAGTTAATTGCATACATGGTAACTTGTCCAAACTTTGGATTACATTCCCTTTGATTGTCGCTGTAGTGTTCATCACAGCAATGAGTAATTACTAAAATACTTAAACTAAATTCATTGGCCCTATAATGTTTGTTTCCTGGATAGTTACTGGCTTGTTATTGCTTTAGATAGAAGACGGTTATGGCTTGCTATGGAATGCATTCAGGAAAGCAAATTTCACGGAAGATGATGTTGCTTGTATCCTTGGAGCTTTATCTTACATCAAATAGAATTCTATTTCCACTATTCTGGTTTCCATTCTCTGCTGTTTACATCCCTTAACATCTGGAAGTTTTAACTAAACAATGGTATACGGGTATTCTGGCCCGGATCCGTATCAATGCATTTCGTATAGATCTGGTTGGAGGCTCATGTGGCGAAGACCTTCTTTCACTGGCTGCTGCCTCTGTTGATGGTGAAGGTGCGGTTGGCCATGCCGTTTATATGCTACCATCTTTCTACAATCACGACTGTGGTATCTCATCTCAATCTTTACCTTATTTCTCATATAAAAAATTAAGTGATGGCAAGTTTGGAATGTGAACAGATCCCAACGCACACATATTCTGGTTGCAGAACGCAGATGCAAGGTTGATGACTCTCCGCGATGTCGAAGAAGGTTAGCTCTTTCATTCCTAAAATGTATCTTAGCCATTTCACTTCAATGGGTAAATGGGTAACAATTGCATATATATATATATATATATATATATATATATATATATATATATTTGCAGGAGAAGAGCTTAGGATATGTTATATAGATGCAAGCATGGGATATGATGCTCGGCAAACACTACTCTCTCAAGGGTTTGGCTTCTCCTGCAACTGCTTACGCTGCCAGGCTAAGGACTGAGTAACTCTTTCTTTTCTGGACAAGGCATCTTTAGTTTCTGTGTCTTAAAGTAATAAGAGGAATCAACAAGATACATATGGATAGGTATGTGTATGACTATTTATATGTGGTTTGATATTACAAGACTTTGAAAGATTGTTTGGAAAAAAAATCTTTTTTGAATCCAAAACTCAAAGGTACACAAAAAATCATACTCTCTCACACCATATGAGCTTTCTCATGGTGACTCCAAGATCTTTTTTTTTTCTTTTTGATCTATTACCTAGTTATGGATGCATATCTTCTTGAATTGTGTGAGGACTGGGTATATATTCTCAAAGGCTTTGTAGGTCTCCTCTCTCTTCTTAGCTCCAGTGATAACAATCTTCCCAGACACAAAGATTAATAGCACAATCTTCGGTTCTCTCATCCTATAAATGAGTCCTGGAAACATCTCCGGCTCGTAACTCAAGAAAACGGAGTGAACAGAGACGGCAAGAAGTTCAAGCCTTATAGGGAACTTCAAATCACAAGAAGCTACAATGTTCTGGATCTTGAAATCTTTGAACCTTGCGTCGAATCCAAGCTTCTGAACTATACGAGCATACTTCCTCGCAGCCAGCTTGGAGAAACCCTCTGTCTTGGCTCCGGTACAGACCATTCTCCCCGAGGCGAAGATTAACGCCGTGGTCTTTGGTTCCCTTATCCTCATGATCACAGCAGCGAAACGTTTAGGGTTGTATTCAGCGTTCCTTGCCTTCAAAGCAATCTCTTTTAGGTCTAGCTTGCAGTCCAAGTTAACCGTTGAGACAATGTTTTGAAGAGTGGGAACTAGCCCTGAAGGATGATTTGTAAGGTCTACTGCATCATTACTCCCTTGAAATTCTTCGTCACTCATTCTCCTCTCTCGATGTAGGAATCAAATCCAATGGTTTGGTTCCGACAAGGAAACTAGGGTTTGGTAGCATCATTGAAAGATTAGAGAAAAAGGTGAAGCTTTCTTATACAAAAAAGATTAGAGAATTGGAGAGGGAAAAGAGTTTTTGTAAACCTGTGCTTGTGCTTACCGAAAGAGATTGATTTGGTTCTCTCTCTCGAGGTTTGTGGAGCTGTGAGAGGCGACCACCGACTTTGTTTTGAAAACAGGGACCTTATAGAGCGTAGACCTAATATATAGCGTTCCTAAGCTACCCCTGACCGCCTTTGTAAGCCTGAGGGTGTTTCAGTAAATTAAAAATTTTCCTCTTTTAATTGAACAGATATTCCTTTTATATATAAATAAACTAGGGCCTGCCCAGGCTACGCCCGGGTTTTTTATTTAAATTTAAATTTTGATTATCTATTTTGTATGTTTATTTTAATATTTATATATTATAATCTATTATAAAATATAAGTATATAGACAATTATAAAAATTATTATTCATTTTTTGTCTTATGCAAATCAAATATTTACTATTCAACTTTTTTTTGGTACTGAAATTTATATTTAAGATGGTGAGATAGAATGAATAAAATTAAATTAATTTTAGCTATGATGTTTAATTGGTTGAATTGTAGACATGTTTCATTTCGCTTAAAATTATTTATAATTTTGTTTTCAATTAGTCTCTAAGTATTCTAATGAACTTTCTCCCTTAAATCGACAACCCTTTTTTCTTAAATCATATGTTTGAAAATTGTATTATTTTATAGATAAATAATACTTACAACTACATTACTAAAAGTTACACTAAATTATTACAATAAAATTTCTGTATATATAACCCAACCAAATAAATTTACAGACTTACTCTTACCGTTAGAGCTAATATATTTCTTTTAAAACAATTTTGGTATAGTTAGACTATTATTATATTATATATTGGAGTAAAATTACCTCACAGACGGATGTGCAGATTAAAAAATAATAGAAATATATATTTACATTTGGGTGAAATTATGACAGAAATATTTAATTTGTTCTCAACTAAAATAACATTAATTTCACTATTTTCTCTTAAATATTTTACTGTTTACTTATTATTCTTGTTAGAAATTATTTAGTTCGTTTAACAATAATATATTCATGAAATATATTTTTTTTATTTTGTTCTGAATATTTTTTTACTTTAACTTTGATAATAAATAAAATTAAGTCGATTATTCTTAATACGGAAAAATAATTTATATGTTTGTTTCTTGAATGTAGTTGTACTTCTTTGTCATACACTTTCTCTTCCAGTTTCACAATATATAACACATTTTTGATCTGCAGAAATTCTCTAGCTAAAAAATTATTTCTTACAGAAAGAAACAAAAGTCAGTTTATTGTTAAACTTACCACTTCTTGAGTCCGTTACCAGCAATTTTCTTGGAGTTTAAAGAATCTCAAGGTTCTTAATTTTTATAACAATGAACTCAAGGAAGCATCCCAGCCTCTCTTCCAAGTTTGTCCAGACTCAAAGACTTAACCTTGTAAACAATTCATTCTCAGGGGAAATTCCCATGTTGATCTTCCAAATCTAAGGCAAATCGACATGTTTGTCAATATTTAAAAAACAAAAATTCAATCTTTTATACACATTTAAAAGTGATTATTTTTCCATGTTGTTCTTGTTAGAAATTATAAATATATTACTAATATTAAAATTTTATTTTTAATCAGTGTAACTATTTTTCATTATAACGTTTGTTCTAACTTAATAACAAAATCATGTAAATAAATTATTCGAAATTACCTTGAAGTTCAATACATAAATAATGAATTATTTTCTAATCCATTTATAAGGAAAATAATCACTTATATTGAAAGTAAACTAAATATTTTTAATCGGTGTAACTATTTTTCATTGTAATGTGTGTTCTAACTTAATTAAAAAATCATGTAAATAAATTATTCGAAATTACACTGAAGCTCAATACATACATAATGAATTATTTTCTAATCCATTGATAATTTTATATTTTCTTATACATTTTTCTAAATCTATTGATTTAGATAATGGGGAAAAGTAAATTCATATAATGTTTTAATAATTAAATATTTATTGTTACTATTTAAAAATAGTCATATTTATTGAAATTTTTCCAAATTAAAAAAAAAATCATCCAAACTTATTAGGATTTTATTTTTAAATATCATTAGTTTTTAAATTATAATTGGTAATTTTCTTTATTTTTATTTGATTAATTTAGGAATATGATTTTTGTACATTAGTTTTATTATTGACTATTTTTATTTAATTTTGCAAATTTACCATGGTTCTTATTATTATTATTATTATTATTTTATCTATAGTCTTCTTTTATTTTAATAATATATATTTTCTTTAAAAGATATATGATACTATCATTTTAAATTAAGTGTATGAAAATGTCAAATATATTACTATTATTAAGTTATCTTTAACTAAAATATACCACAAATTTTAGTTTACAGTATATGAAAACATTTTTTATATTTCTTATAATATATGTATATCTTTTAAAAATGATAAGTGTCATCTCTTTTTATTTGAAATATTTAAATTACAAATGATGTAATATTTACATAAATATGAACCATCACCGAAAGAGAAAAACTAATATATATGAAATATAATTGTATAATCAAGTTACTATGTTTTAGTAAAATATGTCGAATCAGAATTTTGTTATTGATTTTCTTTTTCAAAAATGACTTTATGTAATCATATTTCGGTAATCACATACATCTTTTGCTATCTTCATAATTGTCTTTGCCTATCAGCCCTATCCTACCATCAATGAAAAAGTTTACGTTGATGCCGCAGAGGCTTTTATATACTTAAAGATTCAAAGAAAGTATATACTGATTTTTCAATTATTAGCATCCTACGTGATTTGGTTCTGGAATTCGAAGTTTTTTCCTTTCTCTTCTTATTCATTTGTTAGACGTATTTATAATAATGTCGCACATGCTATTGCCAAAAAGGGTATTCATAAGTTTTCTATAATGATTGGAATTATCCACGTAAGTAGCGTATTATCATTGACACTCAACTTTCAAGTTTTAAAGTCTGACTTTGTCGGAAAAAAAAAGAAGACGCTACCTATAGGGATCCTTTTTTTTTTCTTTTATGAATTTCATCTCTACTTTCTGTTTACACAAACCTGAAGTAGGAAAATGTTGTAAAAGAATGTTAGGTACAGGGCGGAGCAATTAGAGGTGCTCCAGCACGTCTAGGCCAAGTGTCCTAAGCCAATCTCGCTCCAGCCACAATAACTGATCAGCGAATGTTCCAACTGAAGTGAAGGCCACTTGTGGAGTATCCTTTTGTATGTTCTTAGTGTGTAATTTTATCCTCCAACGCAACTTCCTGTTTTTTGTTCAAAAGGACTTTCTTGTCAAATCCAAATCCACCCGAGAAGCTATATTATGAGTGAAAAAGTGAAAGGATAAGTTGTTAAAACAGAATACCAAAAGAGAAATTGATATGCGCATGGCTTGTCTCATCCCCTCATCCATACCAGGAACTTTCAAATCGGGCAAGTAGCTAAAGTCTGAAGTGATGAGAGACATCGTTGGCATCATGTAAACCTCCATCAGTTTCTGGTATTTACAATGTTAGAACAGAGCAGCAACACACCTCGGTTATCAAAAGATAAAATATTTGCATCTATAAAGATGATTTTATCATGAGAACGGTTGAATTTGGAAGAATAGTTGTTAAACCTAACTTTTTACCTGTACCAGATGAAGAGATTGTGGACGTATGATAGTGGTTGAATCAATTGAAGAATTTAAGATTGGCCGAAGTTCTTCATCAATTTGTTTGCTTTTATGACTAAAGAAATTGTTCCTGACGTTCATTGTTTCCAAGCACTGCAAGTCCTGAATTATCAAAGAAAACAATCAACAATCTAATCATCACTATGACCCCAAAAAGAAAATCAAAACCGAGAGAGTATACAAATAAGTCACATAAATATATGGAAATTTCAACAGGTGGAGAGAGACGAAGCTGTAAAAAATTTCTTTTAATTAACATTAAGTATAAATGAATAGATAGAGAGCGAGAAGAGGATGTTCAGGAGATGAGGACTGACCTTTCTATAGGTGAATAAACACCGCCTCAAAGAAAATTAAGAAGCATTGAATTTGAATGACCAGTAGTGATTGTTGTGGGTCAAAGGAGTAAAGGTGGCTCTTAAAGGGCGATGAATGGGTGAATCCGTAACGTTTCGGAGGAGAAATCTAAGATGAACAGCCGCGAACGAAGATCAACCCAAAGATTCCTCAGGCTGGTTCTTCTCACACAATCTCCCTAAACTCCATTAATGGCTATAATTCTTAATAGTATGGATGTCTCACGACAAACCCTATAAGAAGACATAGGTATCGCGAACAGTTAAATTACCCTTTTAATCGGATTGAGAAACTGTCTGTAACAAAACATAATATTAAAACATCAGGCCCATATAAGGTAAATGGAAAGCCCAGATAATAAAACACAACGAAATCGCGTTAGTAGATAGCCACGTGGCAATAGCTCCCTCATCAAATTGATGACGTGGCTGGAGGAGGAGGGAGTGAACATTTCTTTATATATATAGATAGATTGAACATATATGACTGAAAAAATAGTATATGGCAATGTCGCATTTTTCTGATCTGAAGATCATATTAAACAGATGGAATGAAATCTTATACACCTAATTTAGCAAAGAATACATTCCTTCCATAGCTATAAACCAACAAGGTAAACATTACTTCTCTGAAATTCGAAAGGAGCCAAGATAGATTTATAAACTTAAAATTAGACAATAAAATAAACATAACATTAAAAACTTCTGGAACAAATATAGAATCATCAAAAAAAAAAAAAAACGAAACAAGTCAATATCGGATGACAGATTGAGTGAGGAGGCGTTGAAAGTCGCATTTATTTGGGATGAAAACAAGGCTCTAAAAAAAATCGTGTAAGGAATTACAAGCAACCACTACTCAAAACAAGGTTAATACTCACTAATTTTTACATAACTTCACTGGTATGCAAACTGCTATACCAAAAAGCATAATAGCATTTGCCTTAAGCTTAATGAAAAAAAATCTACTTTGCTGAAAAACATTTAATAGTAGGGGCTTAAAAGTAGCCAAAATTATTGATTTGATTAAAAAAAACTTAATAAGATAAGCAAATTTACAAGAAATAACCACGCGGTGGTGGGCTAGTGGTCTCCAGTTGAATTAAGCGCAATTTTTTGGCTGAAGTGTCTTTGGGTTCAACTTGCCCCTAAATCATGCGTGGCCACGAAGTGCTTTACGCCACTTAAAGGTATCAGTAAAGGCTGGCTCCGGGTCAGGGGTGATTACGGGTTTACGGGTTGCTGAACTCTCCTGTTAAAAAAAAATATTTAAAAGAAATATCTAGGCATTTTGCACCTTGTATGGTATGGTTTTTCTTGCTTATGTATGCATCACATGACTTTTTTTTGAACATGCATGCCAAGACTTTACAAGTTTGGTTTTCCAAAATGGAGCAAACATATATGTCTATTTTGAATCTACTGGAGCAAACATATATTTCAATGTAATGCTCTTCTATTGCTTTTATTTTAGGACTCTCGGTACAGTCAAAACTAACAAGTACATCGTCAATATGGCACTTTAGAAACTTTTTGCACAGACGCAAAAACAAAGGCCAAACTAAAAAGGTGAAAAATCGTGCAGATGAGGAAACACAGATTTGACATATCACATTTACCATCTAACTATATTAATTTTGAGGGATCCACCTAAGAAAATGTACTATATGTTAATTCATGGTGATTCTAAAATGATCATAAAAGAAAAGTTGCTCTTAGATCACGAGAAGATTTAAGCCATGCCCTTGTAGGCCATCAATGTCTCGAGCTATCACTAGGGCTGGGCATTTTATCCGTTATATTTGATTCGATTCGTTATTCGTTACGATTCGATCCGAAAATTCCGGATATCCGTAAACTTTCGAATCAAAGCAAATACTAAAATTCAATATCCGCTAAAATCGAATCAAATCACAAATATTAAAATCTTGGGAAGCGGATATCCGATCCGATCCGGAAATATATAAATATATGTATATCTTGACTATATTTAACATTTTAAATGTATANAGCGGATATCCGATCCGATCCGGAAATATATAAATATATGTATATCTTGACTATATTTAACATTTTAAATGTATAAAATTATATAATTATTATTCTAGCACATGATTTTGAACAATTCTATTCATATTAATATTTATATAAAAGTATTACATAAAGAGAGAGAAAATTTATGACAATTATATTTTTTCTTAAATTTTGTGTTATTATAATTGTAACTTAAACTTAAAAAAATTACAAAATATGTAAATTCACTAGTTCTTTTAATTTTTATATTATATATCATGCAAAAAAAATATTTTTGCAAAGTAAATTTGTATCAAAATCTTAAGTTTCTTTGTATTAATCAAAATGGATGAGATATCCGTAAATATTCGTAAATATCCGCAAATATCTATTTATTTTCCGGATATCCGTTTTTCCGGATATCCGTATTTTTTCGAAGCAAAGCAAATACCAAAATTAGATATCCGTAACATTCGAATCAAATCACAAATACCTTAAAAAACTCGGATATTCGATCCGTGCCCACCCCTAGCTATCACTACCTATAATAGAAATAAGGAACTATATATGAAGATATGACTATACTATCTTGACATCAAATAAATCATGTACAGCTCTTCATAAAATATTGCCATGACATCAGTGACCGTAGTTCAACAGGTAGAAATAACACAAATTCGAACTTTATTAGCTACTACAAAGGAAACAACCAATTAAAAATGGTTTTAATCCGTCACTATATCCACCATATATATATACATAATAAACATAAAAGTTTGAAAAGGGTGCATAGTAAAATTTTCTTCTGTTGTTTTAAGGAAAAACTGTAGATTTAATGATTAACTATATTTAAGCTAGTTAAATTGTAAATAAATTTTGGTTCTAGAATTGTAGTAACTTTTCAACTAACTCTATATAAGCACCAGATTATAATATAATCTCTTAACATACACTATATATCTTTTCGCATAAATCATTTACATGGTACTATCCAAATATTAGTAGTTTATTTTATTGTTTTGTCAATAACATGTGGTTTAGTTGCTTTTAATCAAGTAGTAATACATCAATAAAAATGATACAAATTACTAGATTACATTTTACACTCTTAAAGTTTTCTCTGGCCAGATAATATCAACATACATGGTGGTTCAACAACATACTGTTATGCTACTTTCTAGCATTAGTCGGAAGATATTTCAAATTAAGGTTAGTTAGACTGTGTGATATCGAATCAGTACTAATTGCATTCACTCCGGCATCAACATCATATACAAGACTATAATAGTCCAAAAAATGTAGCTAAAATCATTTATTGATTCTAACCAAAATATAAACGTGGGTGTGTGTTCGTGTAGTATATAACTCAATGTCATTTATATAGGTGCATACTCCATCGGGAATTGAATGCAGGAAACATAGAGAAGAACGTACTTGCAAGTTGCCAATTTATCATTCAAAGCCAGAGTGTGCATAGTGCACTTGTCTTCGCACTTAGACAAGTACCCAACAAATAAACTCAACAATTTTCTCTCTTCTCTCTTCTCTCTTCTTAACCTTCAAAGTCACTACCCTTGCCATATCAAAATGAAGACTCACGACTTCATGAACGTTGAGTCTTTCTCTCCCAAGGCTAGACCGATTCGCCTTTTCGGATTCGAGTTTGGAACTTCTCATGAAGATTCTGAATTCAAGGACACTAGTAAAAGCATCAACCACGTCAATACCACGAACAGTAACAAAGACAAGAGATTCAAGTGCCACTATTGCTACCGAAAGTTCCCTACTTCACAAGCCCTAGGCGGCCATCAAAACGCCCACAAGAGAGAACGTCAGCAAACCAAACGCTTCCACCTCCATTCAAACGCAGACGCTTTTTTCCACCGCAACCAAGACCACATTGCTGCTTCTAGGTTCTTCAAGGATCATTTTAGCCTTGAATCTGCTCGCATCCACGACGCAAGATTAGGGTTATGGCGTAGGTATAACTCATCAAAAAGTTTTAGTGTTGACCGTACATCTTACCAGACTAGACCGACGTATGTTGGTGCTGCTAAGAGCAGACATGGTCTAGTTTACGAGTCCAAAACGAATGTACCGGACCACGTGAGTTTGGATCTAAGCCTCTAGTTACTTTTTTTTATATATATCTCTAGCTCTTTTTTTGTATTGTTTACCTATGATTTTTTCAATATAGATAATATTTTACGGTTAATCTAGTTCATGCAGATGAAATAAATAAGTCTCAATGGTGATATTGTATACAGAAATAGAACGTGTTACAAACACCATGCACCGTGTAATAGAGAGTTAAGTTGGGTTCTTTTAACTTCAAAACATTAATAATTCTGTATCTGAGATTTGAAATCTCCAAAAAAGAAAAAAAAATTCAACGCGTATATGTATATCAGCAATATGAATTTATCATTGAACCTTCTTTACAACTAAATCACTTTTTTAATCATTCTCTCATTAAAATGTCAATAAAAGTAATTATAAAAAATGAAATGTCAATAAAAGTAATTATAAAAAGTCGAAAATCAATAAGAATATATATATATATATACATATATATATATATATATATATGTTAGCTCGATTATTTCCTATTTATTTCTTCAATTTTGGTTACTTCTACTTGATTTGAAAATACGTTTTGGTTGGTCTTGACTCCTGGAACGTCCACTCCAATAACATTAACTCTCAAATCAAAATGGAATCACAAAAGGGTCCCAAATAAAACATCACCACCAAGTTAAACTTGGACATAAAACAAACCAAATAAATATGTTATTACTTGTTAGAACTTTGAATTTTTGATTAACATATGGATATTCGATCCTATGGCTTTACTCATACTAATTTATCAATGGCAGGTGTGGAACCATATTTACGAGTTTTCAAATGAACCCTAAAGTATAATTCTATATCCGCATGGCCACGCAGATTCATATTGTGTTCTGTTCGGATCTGACTATCCTTGAAATCTGCCTATCACTAGACTACGTGGTTTATTTGTTAGAACTTTGATGTATAATTGTATATACACAACGTACAGCGAAACTTCTATACATTAATAATGTTTGGACTATATCAAAACTATAATTTTTTATTAATTTATCGATATACTAAATGAACCAAAAACTTAATTTGGGACTACAAAATTATATTATTTTGTAAAGATTTTTAGTGTATATTAATTTATAAAATATTAATTTAAAGAGGTTATACTGATGTAGTATATGTAATAACTCACTTTCTGTCAAGTAATAATCATCCGCCTTTGGCCAGGATTATTCAGGGTGCTTAGTGGGTTGCTTAAGGAGAGAGGGTCCACAAAGAAAACAAAATCCAGTTGCAAAATAGCCAAAATAAACGTTGGTTTTTGCTGGATACTTGTACTGTTTATGGGTCCTACGAATACGTGGCGATCCACAATTGATTCATTTTTTAAAAATAAAAAATAAAAAATAAAAAAATTTAAGCACTCTCCAGAAAGGTTTTGTGGTTAAAGATGTTCTTATGTCCTTAAGTGAAATGTATCGGCCTGTACAAGCCAACATAAAAATATAGCCTTCCTATGATGCGAACATCTATACTATTATTTGCGAAGTAATTTTTCGCAACGGAGCTCTCACGTTAAAAGTTAGAGTGGTTAATATCGATATTACCCTTAATGAATTAATATATAAATCAACCAACAATAAAAAAGAATTTAATATTTATTTGATTAGATAAATGATTTAAATTAATAATAATTATCCATAATCTAAATATATATTTAAAAATAAAAAGATAATTCCTATATATATTGTGTTGTTATCCGGAAAATATATTTAATGAATAAATTTCAAAAACATAAAACACATAAATAAATATTAATTAAGTAAAAACTTTAACTGTACAAAACTGAAAATAAAAAAAATTTAAAAAATTATAATACGTAATTATTTTCAAATTAAAAATATAATAATATAATATAATGATA